CATGAAGGTCAAAGGGATAATAACACCGATCGAATTGTTAGAAAATTGGGGGGATGTATCCAGTTTAAGAGCACACTTTACTACAAATAGAGATATTCTTCCCTTGTTTACTACTGACTCCATCGGATTAAACATAATTGCACAAAGCCAAATGGCAGCAGCCAGGACTCTAGCTTCGTTAAGGGTATCAGCAGCCGCCGTCTGGTCCTGTGTACTGTGTCCTGTGTTGTTGTCTAGCCGATGATTTGCCAATTTCACCAGGCGCTGTCTGTACTGTTTGGCTTGTTTACATAAAAATATTGCCAAGGCGAGCACGACAAACGAAGGCGATGACGATAGCAATGACTATGATGACGATGACTACGACAAGGACGACGGCGGGGGGCCAAAGAAAAGCATAATGAGGCAGACAACGGAGCAGACGGAGCAGGGGTTTAAGGATGAAAGGCACTGGGGAGAGGGCCAGACTTTCCCGGCTTTGCAGTTTCAGCCGAATGCAAGTGGTGGTGAAAAAAAATGCCAGACAAAGTGGCAAATAGACGTAAATGCGTGACTTTCACTTTGATGTCGCCAGCGGGGAAACCAGACAACCGTCGATTTGACCGAAGCTAGTTCTTCATTCCGGCAAAATGCGCTGCGCTCCTCTGCTGTTTGCATAGACACCGGCACGTGCCCGGTACTTCCCCCGGAGTGGTCCCTGGATCCTGGCGGATCGGAAAAGCGAACAAGTGCAGCTGTAAAAGCTGCGAAGTAAGCAATCAGACATGGTTTTTCTTACCCCGAGTGAACTCAAGTGCGATGAGAGTCCGAAAACAAGACATTAAGAGCTGCCTTCCTGAAAAGGCTGCAAACACCTCACAACCACGACTTCAACCTGACGCAAAGTCTACTCCATCTTGCCAGTGCAGTCCAAGACAAGTCAGATGCAGATGCAAAAAGTTCTCGGAGAACTAGGAGTGCCAGTCAGGTGGCAGGTGACACTCCTTGGGGGCGCCTTGCTGCACCGTAGAGATACGGCGCACCCGAAAAACTAACCGGAGACATGGAAATCTTTTTGGGCGGACAGCCGGACAGGCTTATCATGGCCGCTGTCGGGACTTGGAAATGAGTGCACCAGCGGCCGCAGGACATACATGTGAGTGGGTAATCAGAACCTCAAGCTGATGTCCTGCCACTTGCACTTCGCCGCAGACAAGCTCCGAGATAATGAAGCGTAAAGTGCAAAGAAAAGCGAGCTGGCTGGAACGGGGCAGCGGGGGGAAATATAGAAATGTTGGGCCAGACTTTGCGATAAAAGTTGCCCGAGCCAAATTGTGTGTAAATACTTAAAAAGTCGTTAGGGATGGTCAAAAGCAGCGGCCAGAGACACAGAGAAGGGTCCATATATATCTATATATATAAGTATATATATGTATAAATTTATAGGAAGGGAGTCAGCCAAGTGGAAGGCTTTTAATGAGCAGTCGAGTTGACGTCATCATCATTAAAAATATGCAAGCTGCGATTCCCGATGATTGATTGGGCTCTGTTTGCTCCTCCTGCAGCTGCCATTAAGTGCGCCTGAAAGCGCGCAGCCATAAATTTGCTTAATCAAACTATTTAGCCAGGCCTCTGGATGTGGCCGTAGATGCGGCTGTGCATATGGATGTCACGCAGCGGAAGTCAAGCTGCTGCTGCTGTTACGGCTGCCACGGCTCCATTACGGTTACGGGTGCAAAGTCCGGAGTCCGTACTCCGAACGGGAGGGAGGGGAATGGAACACTCCGGCTCGCCGTAACGAGCGCCTCACATGTGTTGCATGCTTTTAGGCGCTGCTCAGACGACACACATAATCCTAATTAATTGCCGGCATCGGCATCAGCATCAGCATTCAGGCAGCAGGAACCAACCAGCAGCCGAGGCATCCTGCTGCCATCCCTCCAAGCCGCCGCCAGGGAATCCGCAGCGAATGCATTCTGGCAGGTGCATGTGAGCACTTCGTGCGCGCCATTTACCCATCGAGCATTTCTGGGGAGGGGAAGGCTCCACCATAATGCACTGAGAGAAAGTATCCCATATCGTAGGGGATTCTAATTTTGTCTAGGAATAATATAAATATAAAGAAGCATTCAGCAAGAGGTTACATGGTAATTCAATCGGCTTAAAAATATCCTTTTAGCTCTTGAAAACCCTTCCTAATATTATATTTTATACCTTTCTGTAAGAATCAATATTACTTAAACGTGATTGTATTAATAGACACCTTTCCTGGGCATTTCTAACCGCAGAACAGACTGTATTTCCCATAATTTTCTCTTGATGTACCTGTCATCGTCCCCTGTTACCCCTCGATTCCTGCCACATCTCTCGATACCCCTCGTTTCGTGCCAGTGCGCCATTATTTCCTTTTGATTTGCTTTGGCTGCAAAAGTCGTGGCGTGTTGAATGGCGTTCTAGAGCGGGGCAAGCGACGCATTTCATGCACTCGGCTGAGCTTTCGAGTTGCTTAACGCGTTTGATGTTTGCTGCCCCCCGTGTCTCCTGCCTCGTCTCCTCTCTGGCTGTCCATAAAATTTAATGCATGCTGCGAGTGTGACAGCCCGTCGGGCCTAGGACACACAGGAGCCCCAGCCAGTAGTATCCCCCATAATCCTTAAAAGGCGTCGACAATCCGCAGGGATACGACGCTGGCATTTCTTTAACTTTTGAGGCCGAAACGGCCAAGTGAGTTGATGGATAATTGGGTTTCACGCGGGGAATTAAATCCAAAGAGTTCTCCTTTAAGAACCGGAAAGGCGACTCTGAAATTGAGCTGCCCCCCACTTCCCTGGATCATTCCCGCGGGAAACAAACACCAGAGAAAAATGGCAAAAGTTTTCCGTTCAGAGAAGGGGAAGCATTAAACCAGCCACAATAATCGATGCCAGAGTCGAACATCGGAGTCCTGGAACTCTCAGCCTGCCCAGTTGCCTTGGCTAATTTCCCTTTGGCTTGGGGAAATGGCTAAAGGCTTAGGGGTGGGGGCATAAAGGAAAAAAGGGACGGCCTTCTCCGAAGTATGCAACACAATTTTAATTAGTTTGGAAAAGTATTTTAATTTTTGCAATTTGAATGCCACACGGCGGCCCAAAAAGACAGAGGGAAAAGGCGCAAATCTTGGGACGAACCACACAACCCCCGAGCTACAGAGGGAGGCGGCCCCAAATTATTTTCAAATTCCCGTCTTTAATGATTATTAACATTATTAGTTGTAATGAGCGGTCTTAAAGTTGGCAAATGGCAACTGAAATTCGCCGGCTATTCAAAGTGCGTTTAACAAAATAACCAGAAAAAAAAAGGAAAACAAGAGGCGCGGTTAAACAAAAAAAAAGTTCTAGCAAAACGCAGAGAAAGTTGAAAAAGTTGTGAGAAATTTTTGCAATTATTTTTCTGTTTTAATGTAATAGTGGACTCGGGGCCCCGCCTTTTTTTATGATTTTTTTACTGCACGTTCTACGCTTTCAAACAAAAAAGTTTTTTTAAACTATGTGGCCGGTCGCCGGTCGCCGGGCTAGGTTCGGTTTTGCCGGACGGAGCCGTCGTCTATGGATCTGCAGCTCTCCCGACTGACTGGCCAGTTTAGTGGTTGCGTCGGGCACGCCGGAAAATATGCTTTGATTTTTGGCCTGGCCATTGCGTGGAATGCAGTGTTCGAATTGTTTGGACCCATGGTTTTGTGCGGACTTTTTGCACCCCGAAATTTGCTCTTTTCTACATATAGATTTTATTTTTGGATATGCCAAAGTTTTCAAATTAAAGGCACCGCCTTTTGACCGAAAGTTTTGCGGTTGTGGGTGGTGGCGGCTGCCTCTCTCTCCCTCTGTTCCATGATTAGTGATTGAGTTTGGTCTTAGACTTGCGTCGGCACTTACCTACAAAGAGAGAGAAAAGAAGCGAAAAAAGTGTTAGTTAAAGTTGGCAGTAGGGAAATGGTTATTAAAGAGAGACAGAGTCAGAATCAGCTTATCAGGGCCGATTTCGGCTCGAATTCCCTTGACAAAAGTGAACAACCCAGAGCATCCCGTACTTAATTACACACAACTCATTTGTCGCACACAAAAACAAGTCCCGAATACGCCACATGGGACTCCAGCGTCATTGTCGTCTGCTGGGAAATGGAAAATCCGAAACGAAACCAGATGAGCGGCGACACGTGACACATGGGCAGGGCGGGCACATTGGGAAACAGGATCCGGGGCCGAAACAACAAGGAGCCAGTCAGCCAGTCAGCTCCGACTCAGACTTTTGTTTATATGTCATAAAAATTACTCATACGTTAATAATTTAAACGGATGGCTGTTGATGATGGCCAGCTCGGAGGCGTCTGCAAATTTGCTTTGGCAATACGAAAACCTCGGCTAGCTCGGAATCAATGCGAAATGAAAACCAAACATGCCCAGGCTCTCCCCCACATCCTGGCGATGTCCCTGATCAAACACACAAGGCCACCACCACCTCAAGCTTGTTTGCTCTGATGCCCGATGATAAGTTTCGTTATCATGTCGGAAAATTCATAACCATGGCAATGACAGACATTGAGCATATCATCTGATGTCTGTGGGTATTTCCCCACACACGGGTGTGAGTGTGTGTGTGTGTGTGTGTGTGTGCAGGGTGGTGGCAAATTCATTATTTCATCAATAAAACAACACACCAATCAATATATTGTGAGATGTCCTTGGTATTTGCTTTGGCTACTCTGCCGGGCAGATACTCTTGAGTAAATATTCGGCATATGTGTGCCATCATTATATTTATTCATGAAGCGATATTAGAAAAGTGATATTGCAGTTGATTTGAACTTGGAAATCGAACTCCCTTTAAATATATTTATTGGCTAAGTAATGTAATAGTGATGTTTTTAGTCGTAGTCTTCTTTGGTCTTTGAACTTGGTAATCTGACAGTTAAAATCATATACTAGGATGAAGATTTAATTGCCTAAGAAAATATTAAATGCAATACGTAACATAAAACTCATTGCTTTAACTAGTTTATTGCTTTATTCTACTAAAAATATTAATTTCGATTATGAAATAGTATTGGTCTTGTATCACAATGGTGCATATTTCGGATCTCCTGGCATTTTTCAACTGTTTGCTGGCTAAATTTCTTTGACTATTTTTTGCTATTTCTTCTAGTCCTTAGAGAATGGTATCGGATTCGTTGTAGTTTCCTCCACAGATTAACAGATTTGCAGGCAATATTTGACGCAACCAGTAAAACCGCAGATATTCGTTGATTGTCAATGGACTTAGGTCGGGGCACCGCTTGTTGTTGCTCTGAAGAAATCGTCCTGGGATGGGGCTCTTTGCAAAAGGTCTTCCTGTATATATAAGTGATTGTCGATGGTCAAAGGATATCTCTCTGTCATCCCGTCCGTTCAGTTTGGGGCAAACTGCAGGGATTGGATCACAGAGAGTATCCTGAGAACATCCGTTCGCGAATGATGGTAGGCGAAAGATCCCTTTAAAGCCGGGGAACAGCCGCTCCCCTTCCATAGTTGTCTCTATTCCTGCATCTTGAGGCTTCCTGAGTACGGTAAGGCTCTCCGCCCAAGTCGATTTATTTAAATCTTCTTCTTCACACTGGCCCAGACCCATTATCCTTCGGAGTCTCTTGAGTTGCTCGTCAGCACATCTCTTCTGCCGATCAATCGTCCCATACCAATTCTTTATGTCAGGAAATCTAAATTTCTTGAGCAATTCTATAGCCACGCACTTGTCTATCCCATTTTCCTTAGTCCATCATTTTCTTTATTTTCTTCTGCCTTCAGCTCTTCTTCTTCGCATATTTCTTTAAGAAGCTGCAGCAATTTTTTTCTTAATTCTTCATATTCGCTTTTGGTTGGCTCATCTTCATCATCTGTTTCAGATTTCTCTTTTGTTTTCTTATCGTTCTTGGCACATTTCTTCCTTAGCTCCATTTCTGCACATTCATTTTTCTCATCGTTCTCAAAACATTTGTTCCGTATTTCCATTTCTTCACACTCTTCCCTTAGGGCCATTTCTGCACATTTCTCTCTTTGTGCAATTTCTTCACATTTCTTCCTTTGCTGCATTTCTTCACATTTCTCCCTTTGCTCTATTTCCTCACACTTCTCCCTTTGCTCCATTTCTTCACATTTCTCCCTTTGCTCCATTTCTTCACATTTCTCCTTTGCTCAAGTTCTTCACATTTCTCCCTTTGCTCTATTTCTTCACATTTCTCCCTTTGATCCATTTCTTCACATATATCCCTTTCCTCTATTTCTTCACATTTCTCCCTTTGCTCAAGTTCTTCACATTTCTCTCTTTGATCCATTTCTTCACATTTCTCCCTTTGCTCCATTTCTTCACATTTCTCCCTTTGCTCAATTTCTTCACATTTCTCCATTTGCTCCATTTCTGTACATTTCTCCTTTTGATCCATTTCTTCACATTTCTCCTTTTGGTCCATTTCTTCATATTCCTCCCAAAGGTCATTTTCTTCAAATTCCTTTTTCTCAGCACATTTCTCATTTTGGATCATTTCTTTCAATTTCTGCCTTAACTTCATTTCTGAAGTTTTCGCCTGCTGAATAAGTTTTACAATCTCCTGAATCGCACATCTTTTTCTTAATTCTTTTTCTGAGCATTTCTTTTCAAGTTCATGTTTGTTTTCTAGTTGTTCTGCACTTTCTTCTGATGGGTCTTCATTATAGTCACTTTCTTCTATCGACTCATTTAGTTCCTCATCGCTTTTAATATCATTGTCAACGCATTCTTCCTTTAGCTTTTCTTTGGCAGTATTTTTATTTATCTCCTTTTTGATATGCTGACACTGAAGCACGATGCCGTCGATCTGCTTCGCGATTAAGAGTAGTTCGTGGTTGCTCAATTTACTGAGTCCGCCATTGAACATTCCTCCATCAGTCTTTCGCCTTAATTTCTTACTTTTCTTAGCTTTTTCTGGATATTCTGATTTATTGATTCCTGCTGAATTGCCTCCTGATTCATTTCTAGAACTTGACTTGCACGTATTTTTCTTCGTATTTGCAAGCTGCTCTAGGTCCTGCTTATATATTTTAAAGAACGCTTCGGCAATTTCACCGACATTCTTATCGTGTTCTTGGTAGTCTATCCCTTTTCCGGCTTCATTTTTCATTTTGTTTTGCATCAAAAATAAACACTTGGATATCATTTCGGCTTCGCGAAATTTCCATTCGTCTTTATCCTTTGACTGATTAAGACAGTCTTGCTTCAAGGATCCATTATCAGACAGTTCCCAAAGACGCTTGTGGATGTCGTTTTTCAGCTGGTTGAAGATTGCCGCATGATCGGTATAGTTGCTGTCTTGTAAAGTAGCTTTTGGATATATTATCTGCATGTCTGAAAATTTGGAATTGGGAGAGTTGAGACTTGGTATTAGTATGCTCTTAACTTCCCCAAGCATCGCGTTAGAGTTGAAATGATCTTTGCTTACTAGGTTTAACATTAGTGGTGGACTCTTTTCCTTCGTATCCTTTTGCTTGCGCTTATTGAACGGATAAGGCTGCTCGTCTCTAACTAGGTTTACAATTTTTGGTGGACTCTTTTCCTCCGTATGCCTTTGCTTACGATTGGTAACCTGATAGGGCATGGGTTCAAAGGGCCGCACCAGTCTGTGCGCTCGCCAGCGATCAATGGTTTCCCTTCTGATACAACTCAAGAGACTTTCCTCACGGGCTCTGATGTTGTTGTATGAAGGACTTGGCTCTGGACATGCTCTCTCAGCATCTTTCAGCTTGACATGCTTTGATTCTGTCTTTGGCGTTAAGCCTTTGGAACACTGGGTAAGTCTTGGTGGAGCTTTTCGGGAAGAAGACGGATATGTTGATCTTGTTTCTACAAATTCAGTTGTCCCCTCAGTCCGGCTGAAATATAAAGGATCTGGAACTTCGTTACTTAATCCAATAATCCCTTTTACTTCTCTAATTGACTTTGAATCTTTAGAATAATTTTGATGACTAAATGTTGAAGCTATGGGCGTGAATTGTTTCTGTTTATCTTTAACTAACCTCGATCTCAGCCCCCTTGTCTTTTTCTCAAGTTGTGTCACGTAGTGGTTTTTGTAGTGCATTATTTTTTCGTCGTCTTCTGCCGACTTTATCCATTCCAAGTCCGCACATTTTCCCTCGCGTAACTCTTCTTTTACCCGTTTCGATTTCTCATAGATAATGGTGATCCAATGGTTGATTGTATTTCTAGGCTTCAGGCTGTAGAAGGATTCTTCAACTTTCTCAGAATTGGAAATTGATGGATTTTTTTTCGGGGCTTGTCTTGTTCGTGCTTTTAGGGGCGTCTTCCTTTTTATTTTTACCAGAATTTTGGTATTAGTTTGTTTTGTTCCTAAGCGGCCAGGGATGCTGTCGCCATCTTGAATAAACTCCAGTAAGCTTTGCCTGCTGTTCTGTTGTAGGTGTCGCTTGCTATTTTTCGGCACTGACACATCCTGGTTGCCCTTGTTCGTATCTTTGTGGTAGAGTCGCCTCTTTCGATTTTCCTGGCAGATTTCGTGGGGCCGACTAGATGCTCTGATCCGAATTCCGCGACTCGGCGCCACAAGGGATACACGCTGGCGAAACACCTGCCTGGCCCGAGTGGCGGCACCTGTCCTGGTCAGATCTCTGTTCAGGATATCGCTGGCCATCGGAGGATCAAAGTGTAGGGCGGCGAGAGTTTGTGGACTTCCGATGACTCCAGCCAAGAACGATGGCCCGCCGTTGTTTCTCTGCCAGACTGAGTTCGCCGGCGGGATTGATGGACTAAGTTGGAGACCGACCAACAGCCGCTGCACCTGCGAGGCGACGCATCTGCGAAACATGCCAAGGACTTCGGCTTCGGGCGCTGCGATTGCCAATGAATTTTGATGGTTACTAAATAAAACAAAGGCCTAGTTAACGTGGGGCAGGCAGCTGCGGTTTTATTTTATTATTCAACGAAATGATAGATAACTCATGACTGACTGAGGTTTAAAAATCTACTGTAACAGATTCAGGTTCAACAGGAAGGCCATGGAGGCTATGATGCTGGGATGCTGATGGCCTGGAAGTCCCTCACCTCATTCACTTTACATGTACTAGGGCAATGGATGACGTTGACAATATTGGATATAAAACGTCTAAGATGGCTTAGACCACGGCAACGATCGAGGGATCGATCGCCTAGTTGGTGTAGCCGTTTCCCCTATTATACCATAGATATCTCTCTTGAAGGAAACTGGCCAACAGCTGCTCCAACCGGATGACGAACAGTGTTTCCTACCGCCGTCGTCCTCTGAGCAATGCGTGTCATTATGCCCCATGAAGTGGCACTTTCAAGTCCTAAAGTGACACCTGTGAGGTTTTCTTGGGGTCGTCAGTATCCTTCTGCAGCGTTCACTTTAAGGGTACCAGGGATACAATATTACCTTATTTCCAATTAGCTTAATATGTTCTGACTTGTAGTTTTCAGAGTTCCTTTTTTTTAGTCTTTAGGAGAATTCTTATCGTCGTTTAACAACTTCTGACATTTTTCTGCAAGTTTGGAAATAAGGCCTTCGTATTCGCAAAGCATCTTGTGAACTTCATTTTTATCTGGACTCGTTTCTCCCATACATTTTTCTTCAAGCTTGGTGCTTAGTTCTTCGTATTCGCGGATCATCTCATCAGTTTCCGTATCGTCAGCCTCTTCACTTTTTTCTAACGGTTCATCTTCCTGCTGGTTCTTCTCTTCCTCTCCCTGCTGGTTCTTCTCTTCCTCTCCTCCTTCCTCACCGTCTTTTTCTTTCTTTAGCGCTTCACACTGCTTCATTTGTTCTGCCTCTTCACATTTCTTTTTCATTTCTTCTTCCTCTTTCTTTTTCTTCTTTTCGGCCTCTTTTTTCTTCGCTTCCTCTTCTTTCTTAAGCGCTTCACACTGCTTCTTTTGTTCTGCCTCTGCGCATTTCTTTTTCATTTCTTCTTCCTCCTTCTTTTTCTTTTCTTCCGCCTCCTTTTTCTTAGCTTCTTTTTCTTTCTTCAGCGCTTCACACTGTTTTTTAATTTCAGCCTCTTCGCATTTCTTTTTCAATTCTTCTTCCTCTTTCTTTCTCTTTTCTTCCGCCGCTTTTTTCTTAGCTTCTTTTTCTTTTTTTAGGGCTTCACACTGCTTCTTTAGTTCTGCCTCTTCGCGTTGCCTTTTCAATTCTTCTTCCTCTTTTTTTTCTTCTCTTCCGCCTCTTTTTTCTTCGCTGCTATTTTTTTCTTTAGCGCTTCACACTGCTTCTTCAGTTTTGCCTCTTCGCATTTCTTTTTCATTTCTTCTTCCTCTTTCTTTTTCTTTTCTTTCGCCTCTTTTTTCTTAGCTTCTTTTTCTTTCTTTAGCGCTTCACACTGTTTTTTTAGTTCAGCCTCTTCACATTTCTTTTTCATTTCTTCTTCCTTCTTCTTTTTCTTCTCTTCCGCCTCTTTTTTCTTAGCTTCTTTTTCTTTCTTTAGCGCTTCACACTGTTTTTTTAGTTCAGCCTCTTCGCATTTCTTCGCAAGTGCCTTTCCTTTTTTCTCTTCACTCTCCTGCTCAGACTTTGCCTTTGTCTTTTCTCCTCCTTTTTTTAGCTCATTGCAAAGTCTAGCCACTTCTGCAGCATTCTCTTTTTCTTTGAGCTCTTTGCAGCGCTGCATCGCCTTTGCTTCTTCGCATTTTTTCATCATTTCGTCTTGTTCCTTTATTTTCTCCTCTTCTGCCTCTTTTTTCTTGTTTTCCTTTTCTTGTTGCTTTAACTCTTTGCACCTATTCTCTTGCTCAATTTCCCTCTGTTTTTCATCTTCTTTGTTTTTCTTTTCCTGGTATTTACGTCGGCTTTCCAACATTTTCTTTTTGCATTTCTCCAGAATCTCATTTTCCTCACACTTTTCCATCACCTGTTTGTCTTCGGGAGTCATTAATTGGTCATCTTCAGATTTTTTCTCGCATTTCTTTCTGAGTTCTTCTTCCATGCAACTAGTCATAATTTCTTTCTCTTTGCACTTCTGCATTTGGTCTTCTTCTTCGCGCTTCTTTTTTCTTTCTTCCTCTTCTTCCTTTTTTTTGTATTCTGCACATTTCTTTTTCTGTTCTTCTTCGGCGCGACGTTTTTCCCTTTCCTTGTCTTCTTGTTTTCTCAGTTCTTTTAAACATTTGCACTTTTCTTGTAAGGCCTCATGCTTGCACTTGTCCATCATTTGTTTATCTTGCTTTTTTTCTGCTTCGGCCTCTTCTTGACAAGACTTCTTCATTAGTTCCTTTACTTCACACGATGCTTCATCAAAATCGACACCATGTTTATCGGCTAGTTCCTGAATTAAGGGACACACGTCTTTCCAGTTTTCTTGGGCGCGCTTTTCAATTGGTTTCGTCGGCTTCTTTTCGGCTTCACCCGAATCTTTGCATTTATCCTTTTTGGGAAGGGGCTTTCCTCTGATATCATCGCACATCTCCTGTATCACCTTCTTGCGACATCTCTCCTTAATTTGCTTCGTAAGGCAATCTTTGAGTTCAAAAAGTTGCTTCTTTTCCTTAGGGCTCATCCGCTCGTGAGCCTCTTCAATAACATCTAATTCTTCGCACATACATTTATCCATCTTTTCCGTAAATGGTGACTTAAAAGTAGGCTTGGACTCTTCACCCTGAGGTTTCTCCTTTTCTCCTTTTTCTGCTCCTTTTTTAGAGTCCTTGCCTTTCGATTTTTTTTTGAACCATTTGCTTCTTTGTCTGAACCTTTTGCTTTTTTATTCTTTTCCTTTGATTTGCCTGATTGGGAATCGTCTTCACACTTACTATCATTTTTGGGATCCTTTGATTTCCCATTCTTCTCTTTGGACTCCTTACAAGCTTCCCCGTTGGACTTACTAGATTCCCCTTTAGCGGCTTTCCCTTTGGACTTCTTACTAGCTTTTCCTTTGGACTTCTTACTATCTTCCCCTTTGGACTTCTTACTATCTTCCCCATTGGAGTCCTTGGTCTTATCACTCTTAGCAGAATCTTTGCTCTCAGTCTCATTGGAATCTGATCCTTCATCCTTCTCACAACCTGCGTTTTCCAGAAGCTTGGCGACCTCTGCCATGCACTTTTCATTTTGTTGCCTCTCCTCACACATCTGTGCAAAGGCAATCTTTTTCTTGTGATCCTTTTCGGCCTTCTCAGCTTCTGGATCCTCGCACTCCTCCGCCGAGTCTGCCTTTTCACTTTCTGAACTTCCCTTCAACTGGGACGCACACTTCTTCACCATGTCCTTAATATGCTTCTCCTTGATAAGTCGAGCGAAACGCCGCTTCATCTCCTGCTCCTTGCAGTACCTTTGAAGCACTTGCTTCAGGCAAGTAGACTTAATGCCCGCCATCACGCAATCCATCATATCCTCCATGGCCTGTTGCTCCTCCTCAGACATGCACTCGACTTTCTCCATCACGCCCTTGGTCTTGATCTCGATGCACTTGTCAAGCTGCTTCTTCAGCCGAGCCGCATCCTTCTTCACCTGCTTGGCGGCGTTGCATTTCTTCTTGGCATCCTTGCGCTTTTGAAGAGCCTTGGCGATCTGCTCCCTGTACGCCTGGAAAGTGGCACAGTCCATCTCCATCGGATGATCGCCATAGTAGCGGATCTGGAGCCTCAAAAGGCTCAAACGAAAGATTCGGCCATGGGGCAGTCGCCTAAGCAGGCTACCGGTGGCTCGGGAGGACATTGTTCGGTGTACAAAACTTCACAGAGCCCCCACGACTCAACAAATATTCTTATGGAGTAAAATTTTGTTACAATTTGGTCCAAACAAAATGAGGAGAAATTTTGTCCAAAATTAAGGAGATCTTAAAGGTTGTCAAGGTTCAGTGAAAGTACATACTACGCAACACACATTGTGTACTGTTTAAAAAGGAAAACCTACTAAGTTGGACAGGTAATTCCAAGGGATATAAGATATACTTCTGTCGTTTTTGGTACCTATGTATACGCAGGTGATGCCGTTCGCTACCAGAACTCTCTCAATGCGTCGACAATTTTCCAATCTTTGCACAAACCTCAGCAATGACAACAACGCCGCGGAGCCGCAACCACGACATACTTACACACCCCGCTCCCAACCAGAGGAGGTGAAAAGTGGAGCAGAGCGGCAGACGAACAATTTTGTCGAACATAAAATCGAGCACAACTTAATTAAATGTTAAAAGCGCGACCGCAGCGCGTCTGTGGCTGCCGAAGGTGTGACTGCAAAGGGGTTGCCAGAGCTTTCCCGGGCTCCAAGCAGGGACTGAAGATGGAATTGGGCCTGAGTTTGGGTCTGGGAATAGCGTTATCACCCGGCAAGACGCTGACAGACGCTAACTTCATTTTCGGCGGTGGGCTGCTTCAAATTAGCAAACCTGTCAACTGTCAGCAGCGGCGGCATTTTCGACGGCGACGGGAGTGTTTCTGAGTTGAAGTGTGGCCAGAAGTATGCGGTAAGGTGGAGGAAGTGCTGGTATGGATGTGGTGTTGCCCCCAGGCCACGCCAAGACAATGTGCTTCAACACCTTGCGGCCCTGCCACGGAGTAACTCCATTTCCCCGCGCTCCAAAAGAGGAAGTTGCTCCTCGAGAACAACGAACCTCCATGTGTGTGCGTGGTGAATTATGGCATGTCTACTTCCGCCTGCCAGCAGTCCGCCCATCATCAACGCCCCTCATTGCGCTGTTTGTAATTTGTTAATTTCCCGCATTTAGAAATTAATTTTCACTTCATGCGCCGCCAAGCAGACAACAGCAGACGACAGACAGACAGACAGACAGGTAGGCGCACAGGCAGGTGAGTTTGAGTTTGAGCTGGAGTTGGCAACATGGCAACACTGTCTCGCATAGGTGTGTGCTTTAACACACACTCACACACACACACACACACAAAAAACTTGCGCCGCAATTACGAGTGCGAGTGTGCCTCCCCACCTCCTCAACTTTGACCCCCTTCCTTCCTGCCGCACTCATTGCGTATTTAAATTCCTTTATGTTGTCATTAATTTCTGCAACTTGTTCGGCATTGTCGCTGTTAATTTTTAAGCGAAAGCTCGGCCCGAGTCGAGTCTGGCATGTGTTTGACACGTTTACATTTTAATTGCACACAGGTGTGCGGACAGACGGCCGGGAAATGTTCATTTCATTGCCGCCTGTGTGTGTGCGGGCGAAAAATGGGAAACTGGGAGTGTGTGAAACTTTAATTGCTTTATTATGTCCGCCAAGTGGCAGGTGGGGGAAGTTCCCAAAGAAAATCAGCGGAAAACTGGGCCAGAATTCTTCGGTGCCTTCCAGCGGTTACATTACTTGGTTCTTGTAAAATATATTATGCTATTTTTAGGCCAGTTTAACTTTCTGTATTTCAACTATTAGCCTTTGAAAAATAATAGTCCCCATGTAAAAAACAAGGTTGCAAAGCCTTTAGTCTCAGTCTCAGAATTTTATACCTCCTCCCACTTTGCCTAGATTTTTATCAAAATTGAATGTCTTAAATTTATATCCAAAGAAATGGCGACGATGGTGCGTCAGTTTACACGATCCGCTATCCGTGGAGTCAGGCAGCCCAGATGGAACCAACTGCTCCTGGAATCGTACAAGAATCTGCACCTGAAAGCCATTCACCATCAGAGACGGTTTAGCTTCAATCCCGATGACGGTAATGAAGACCAGGAGGAGGGTAAATTCTGCATAGATTACAAAAAGAATCCCACTATCGAGGGACACGAGCCGCCTCCGTTGCCGGACCTACAGCCAAAAAGTCCCAAGCTAAGGATAACGAAGAGGCGAAAGTTCCTAAAGGAAAAGAAGTGTAAGGATCTAGTCAAGGAACTGGGAATGGATAATGAGGAGGATAATAACCCTTGTGCTAAATTCTCGAAAGTTTGCTTTCTATGGGGAAGGCCGAAAATCCTTTTGTCCTGGCACAGTTCTCTGATGCAACTTTCGAATCTCAGATCCCTTGATCCAGATCCAGTATACCTTAACCCAGAGCGAACTTTCTCCCAGAAAGTAGACCAGGAGCAGGGCTCTTTAACGGTTAAGTCCGCACCATCAAAGCCGGTTCCTCCTAAAAGCGAAAGGATGGCCAGGAAGCGCAAGCATTTTCAGGCAAAGCAAAAAAAGGAGGCGAAAGCTAAGGCTATTGCAAATTTGAAACATCCAACTCACATTTCAAATACCCAGATCAAGGAGGACCTCAATATCGTCCAGAGCAATACCAAGTTGACTGAGAAAAAGGTAGAAGGCACTTCTTTGGACATTGCTCAGCCCCGAGATGCGGCTTCTATCGAAAAAGCCGAACTCAAGCAACTTTTGAAAATAATAAATGAAAGATGCAGGAGGAAGTGTGCAGAATTCGAGAAAGCTAGAAAAGCAGCAAGCAAGAAGGAAGCTGAAGAAGCTGCTCAAAGAAATCAAACCAAAATGACTCAGATTAGGAAGCTATGCCAGGAAGCCAAGAAATTTCATTCTTTCAAAATTGATAAGCAGCAGAAGCAAAGTGTGGAAGCTCAGTTAAGAAAGCACAGTGAAGCCAAGCTAAGAAATCAATCTAAAAAAGCGAAACCTAAGAAACCAATTTGAAGTAAAAAAGAAGAAATCGGAGGAGGGATCGAACAATTATACCGGAAAACAAACAGTAACGACATAACTCTAAATAAAGTAAAGGCAGTCTATTTAAAATTAAGTTGCTTATTTAAGTTGCTAACCATTTTGGCCAGCAGCAAGTGCTTTTTCTTCAGTGGTAAACCATTAAAGCTGCATGGAAAACAAGCCGTTAAATACTTTGGCTTCGTCTTTAGCCGGATAAGAGCAACTATTGTGTGGCCGAGGAAATACCTAAGTACAGACTTAGTGGAGGAGGAGTGGCAGAGCTGACAAACAATTGTACCCGCTTGTCTTGTTTATTGTCATCCATCAAGCCAAGGCCTCTGGACGAGTAGGAGCTCTGTCTTCGGGCCTCGATTTGTGGCTAGCACCCGTGGTTAAGGCAAGGTGGCTTCGCTGGGCCGTTGGGGAGCTTAACGAGTTGGAGTTTGCTCATTCAAGCCAAGTCGGGTTGAGTCATTCCCTAGCCTCGGCCTCATTTAGACATTTTGCTGTGCATTTGCCATTGTCAACTATTGTGGCCCCGCTTTTCCGCAAAGCCATCTCTATCTCCATTGCTCTTGTAACATTTCCACAAGGTTCCTTTACTACTTTTTTCTGTGCTTTTCTACTGCTGCTGCTGCTGGTGCTGCTACTGCTGATTGTTGCACAAGGATTTGTCAAGGATAAAACACTCGAGGGCAGTCAGTCGACATTGTCGTCACCGTCGCTGCTTCATCATGATTACGTGTATGATTATGTAGCGACAGTTGTCCTGGCAGTGTCTGAATGGCACAAGAGGTTTGGGTGGGCTTTTGGCTTGGGTTTGGGTTTGAGTCCTCCTGGCCACACGCCCCTTCACACGTCACAGCGCCGTAGCCACGTGGCACTAAGCGATGGCTATTGATTTTCCCGTAAGGATTGCAACTGAATGCGATGCTAAGTGCAGACCGTACGGCCTTGGGTTTCCTGAGGACATTGCACTGAGGAAAATCTACGAAATGGGGGTCAACTGTCAGGTCTTATACCATACAATACTGTAATACACCTTGGAGATTTGTTTCTTTGCAGGACTTGTGCGATATAAGATCCAGATCTTAGCTGCATATTTTCAACACTTTTCCCTTAGTGTATGCATGGCTTTGCAGGCGACGTAAACGCATTGCCATATTAAAGCATTTCCGCTAGATGCGACCTTGGGGCTTACATGGCAGTTCATCTATTTTGCTCCATAATGTGTTCTGGCAAACATGCTGCATATACTCATACATATATATATTTGGTGTCCCCAATTTCGCTATTTGGGCTGTCGTCGTCGTCGTCGTTGCAAATTCGTTTGGCAAACACATTTCACCCGGCAAATGCGGAAGGCGAAAGGCGAATTGCAAAAAGCGCGGAATGCAAAATGCGAAATGTGAAACGGCAAATGCCAAATGCCAAATGCAAAGCAGGCAGCCAGGCAAATGCGGTTGCCAAATTATATGCAACTTTGGTCACGTGGGCGTGGCATGCGGTTAGTTAAACAAAAATGCCGTAGATGTCGCCCGGAAAAGGACCCCCCCCCCGCACCAACAAAAACTGGGTCAGTACATGGTCGCCAGACGCGGCAAGAGGAACCCCCATCTACCTCAGCGGTCAAAGTTCAACAGAGGCTGCTGCCGTTGCCTCATTGTCTCGAACACTCGAGCAAAGTTTCGGTTTCACTTTGGTTGTTGCCCCGATTTTTGCACACTCCGTTGTTGTTGTTGTCAACTTCCGGCGACTGCAGCAGTCCTGTCCTGCCCCGGTCCACCTGTTCCGCTTGATTGTTCACAGGACACCATCATCAGGACTCAAGCTCCCGCTACTGCTCCTGCTCCCTCGTCATGAAAGGTTAATGACGGCTGCTGTCAGCGCCGAAGGTCACATCTAACGCTGTTACGGCCACCCACAGGACATCCCAGGACAACCCCCTCCGCCTTTGTTGGGTCAAGCGTGCAGCAGGTAAAAGTTTCTCTCGTAGCGGGAAATCCACAAGGGAGGGGGAACCTCCGGCCGGAGTCCTTCGTTCGGGGCTAAATAGCAGAGCTTCTGGGAGGCGACTCCGGAGGGGGGTAGCAGAGCGTAAAAGTTAAATGAAACGAAACACGTTAATGGCCTCCGAGAGGGGAGGAAGCTGGGCAGAGCTGAAAGGTGAGAGGTCGCCCTGTTAAAGCCACGCTCTTGGGGGAAAAAGTGAAAACAGTTTCGGCAGCAAGTTGGCAGTCCCTGGCCAGGACGAGAGCCTTGTAATAAAATGATATCGTTGGCTTAGTTAAGTA